CCATGTGATATTTCAGTTTTTCTTTTTTAATAAATCTGCAAAAATGTCAACAATTCTGTGTTTTTCTGTCAATATGGGGTGCTGTGTGTACATTAATGAGGAAAAAATTTTTACTTAAATGATTTTCGCAAATGGCTGCAATATAGCAAAGAGTGAAAATTTAAGGGGGTCTGAATACTTTCCGTACCCACTGTACATACTGCATACTGAAAAAGATTATTAAGAGTAGTATTTTGAAGATAACGTAAAAGACTAAGTCTTTTGTCGAGAGCAGCACAGATGTCATATAGTTAAGGAGCTGTGACTTGCGTTTTCCGTGAGATGCCCACATCTTTAGTTCAGTATCTGATGAAGAAGTTTCTTTTTGTGACCTTAAATGGTCCTCACATTTATTTCATGAATATGTTTGTCTTCATCTTTGTCCAGGTCCTCTCTACGGCTCTCTGTTACAAGCATGGCAGTGCTTCCTCTCTTCTGCTGACCGCTTCTCCTCACTGCACTCCTCCATCTGCCGTGCTCTGGTGTCAGAGGACGGAGACCGCATCCGGACGTGGCAGAAGGAGACTTTCCATAAGAAGATATTTGGAGGTTTCAAGGAGTCCCAGGATTTTGAAACTGGTTTCTCACGTGCTCAGAAGCCCTGGGCCAAGAGACTGAAGAAGGTAATCCAAGCATTGTAGTTCTGGGGTTAAAATTTCTCTCATTTTATTTGTTCTGTACACAGTATTGTAGGGACAAAAAATGTCTTCAGATAAATGTTTACATATGGTAATTGTTGAATAATGAACTGTTGAATTTTTGAAAATGAATGTATAGAGTGTGCAATACTAACACCTGTCCTACATGAATCTGACCTGGATGTGTGTGTTTTTTTTATTTATTTTTTTGGCAGCTAGAGAAGGCCAAGTCAGCATTTCACAAAGCTTGCCGTAAGGAACACATGGCTCGTGAGCGGGAGGCCCATGCTCAAGGCAACCCTGACATTGCCATTGAGAAACAGAGGAAGATCCAGGAAGAGACCGAACTTGCTCACCAGGAGACAGAGAAAGTGAGTGCTGTGTGGAGGAGACTATCAGAAAGAAAATAGCAGAGTTTCAAATGGTCTTTTATCATCCAAGTCAGGAAAAGGAAGCAGAAAAAAAAACTGTTTACATTCAGTGGCGGCTTGTGGATTTTAAAGGAGGCACACTAATGGTATTGGTCTGGGGATCCCTGCTGATTATTATTATTTGCTTAACCACTTTAAAATGGCTTTTTGGTTGCTTTTATTCAGAAAATGACACACATACAGCAAGATAATATAAGTTCACTTACCTGGCCTATCACTTGAAGCAAACATCCATCCCTTCTTAAAAGTCTGTGTTAAAAGAGAGCTGCCTGTTGCTCCATTTAATTAAGCCGACAGCTGTAGCCTATATCCAGCTTAGGCTGTTTTCCCTAAATTTGTATATATACTGCTTTAATGACAGCTTGGTAAATCTGTTGGTGATCAAATATTCAATATCGCTACTCATCATAAGTACTTGGTACATTATCAGCGCAGCGGGAGACGTTCAAACTAATATCACGTAATTTACGTCTCTATGATGATTGGTTGATATCAGAAGGGAGGCTAGCCTCCTCTGCAAGGTTTCTTTTCTCAACACTCCTCAGCGCTGAAAGTGAATACTCGATGGTTATTGGTAAAAAAATTTTTACCAACAGAGGCACGAGAGCTCAGGTCTCCCCCGGCCTCCCCCTCCCCTTCTCTATCATTAGCGGTTGTAATTACATCAGCAGATTCGGCACATTCGCAATAGAAAAGCAGTGCTTTCCAACTTCCGTAACATGTTATGGTATTACAAAATTAACAAATGTTAATTTTATTAACATTAAATCATCCTCCTCCCATTTTCACCTCAAAATTTAGGGGAAGCTGTGCCTCCCCTGCCTCCCCCGACGAGCCGCCACTGTTTACATTTACAGGCTGCTTAATGATGCAGTGAAATCATGCAATATATTGCACACTTAATGATCAAGAATTAATCTACAGCACTCAACAGAAAAGAGAGGATGTGGAGAATCAACTCAGGTGCAAAGATAGGTGCTTTTCTATAGGATTCAGGTCAGGGAACTGGGACGGCTATGGCAGATGCCTCATTTTGTGCTCAGTGACACATTTTTGTGTTCATTTTGATGTTTGTTTTGGATCATTGTCCTGATGGAAGATCCAACCACGGCCCATTGTAAGATTTCTAACAGAGGCAGTCAGGTTTCGATTTTTTATCTGTTGGTATTTGATAGAATCCATGATGCCATGTATCTGAACAAGATGTCCAGGATCTCCGGCAGAAAAACCGTCCCACAACATTAAAGATCCAGTAGTATATTTGACTGTGGGCATGGGGTACATTTTATCCCTGTTTGCACCAAACCCATCTGGTGGGTTTGCTGCCAAAAAGCTCTTTTTTAGTTTCATTTGACCATAGAAGCCAGTCCCATTTGAAGTTCCAGTCGTGTCTGTCAACTGAATATGCTAGAGTTTGTTTTTGGATGAGTGAGGAGGATTTTTCTTGAAACCTTCTCGAACAACATGTGGTGATGTAGGGGCTGTTTGATATATTTTTTCAGGCTTTCTGACCTCAAGACTCAACTAATCTCTGCCATTCTCCAACTGTGATCCTCGGAGAGTCTTTGGCCGCTCAAATTCTCCTCCTCACCATGCATTAGGACAATATAGACACACATCCTCTTCAAGGCAGATTTGTAACATCTTTAGTTGATTGGAACTTCTGTGGGAGTCAGAGTCAGACTTGTAACCCAAAGGTCGTGGGTTCAAGTCTCGGTACCGGCAGGAATTGTCGGTGGGGGGAGTGAATGACCAGCACTCTCTTCCACCTTCAATACCACAACTGAGGTGAGACCCTTGAGCAAGGCACCGAACCCCCAAATGCTCCCCGGTGCCGCAGCAAAAATGGCTGCCCACTGCTCCGGGTGTGTGGTTTGTTCACTACTCAATGCTGTGTGTGTGCACTTGGATGGGTTAAATGCAGAGCACAAATTTCGAGTATGGTACACCATACTTTCACTTTTTAATTATTGCCTTAATGGTGGAAATGGGGATTTTCAATGCTTTAGCTATTTTCTTACAGCCACTTTCTATTTTGTGAAGCTCAACAATCTTGTTCTGCACATCAACTATATTCTTTGATTTTACTCCTTGTGATGGATGATTAAGGGAATTTGGCCTTCCTGTTCCTCATATTTATAATCCTGTAGAACAGGAAGTCATGGCTGGACAATTTCATGCGCCTAGTCACCCTGGTGTGCTAAAAAAAATGTAAATATGAATGGGAATTATTAATAATTCAGCGATATTTTACTCATAATAATTTATAGGAGTGCCAATAATTGTGGCCAACATGCATTGCAGAAAAGCATTTATTTCATAATGAGTTTCCCCCACTTTCAGTTGTTTCACTTCAATGAAAAGTTAGAATTTTGTGAATTTTTTGAATAAAAGATCAAAAAGATAAATGATGCAGATTTATTTTCACAGCCACCTTTGCTCATATTTACCAATGGTGCCAATATTAGAGGAGGGCACTGTATATATTTTATAGTTATTTATAAAAAAGTTAACCATGCATTTTTATTGTTTGGAAAAAACTGCTTGGACAATTTCAAAATTGGGTAACACTTTACAATAAGGTTCATTAGTTAACAATTACTTAGTAAACGTACTTAATGTTAATTTCAACATTTACTAATGCATTATTAAAATCCAAAGTTGTGCTTGTTAACATTAGTTAATGCTCTGTGAATGAACATGAACTAACAATAAACGACTGTTTTATTTATTAACTGACATTAACAAAGATTAATGAATACTGTAATAAATGAATTGTTCATTGTTTGTTCATGTTAGTTAACACATTAACTAACATTAACTAATGGAACCTTATTGTAAAGTGTTACCCAAAATTGTTTTGAAGTTGCATTCAACATCCAGTTCAGTCTGAAGTGGCACATAAACGCAACACATCTGACTAACTGGCTGCAAATTCCTGTTTGCAGGTGCGTGCCCGCTATGAGAAGGTTCTTGAGGAAGTGACACGTTATGCTCCACGCTACATGGAGGAAATGGAGTCTATCTTTGACCAATCACAAGAAGAGGAGAGGAAGAGGATAAGCTTCCTCAAACAGGCTTTCCTGTCCATCCACAGACACTTGGATGTCACCAACAACGAGAGGTGTGTGAGAAGGGTTATACCGGTGAAATCTCAGTTTCTGTCCATTTCATTATTACTCGCAATGAGTAAATGATACAAGTTCTTTCTCTCTCTCTCTCTTTCTCTCTCTCTCTCTCTCTCTGTTAGCGTAAAAGCTGTGTACAATGAGCTCCATAACACTCTGATGTCCATCAGCGAGCAGGAAGATTTGCGCTGGTGGAAGAATACACACGGGCCAGGAATGCCCACTGACTGGCCTCAGTTTCAGGTAGATACATACAGTTAATATTGCAAATGCATTTACATTGACAAACATTAGCTAAAACTTAATTTTAATCTTACATGACTGCTTGTGCACAACTCTCTGCCATGAGGGTGTTGTGGGTGGTTGCCATGGTATTGCTATGCAGTTGTTAGGGTGTTCTGGGTGGTTTCTAGATGGTGGCATAATGGCCTGTTTTAAAAGAGCCCGACCTCACGTATCTCTGATATTCTGGATCCTCGCTCACTCAAGGCTATGAGACTTTTCACCTGTTTTATTCACCTTATCTCGGGATACAGAAGTAAGCTATGTTCTGTGAATGTGCAAGACTTCAGATTCATTATCTGCTGTAAGTAAAGTAGAATAAGTAAATAAGTTACAATAATAAATTAAAATAATATGATAACAAATATTAGTTTACAATATCAAGCAGCAGAACTTACTGTTTTTGTACAACTAAAATAACTGGAAGCCTTGCACATTAAAGTTACGAATGATCGCACTTGCTCTTACATTAAAAATAAGGTGGATTATTCACAATGAGAAATGTGCAGTAAGCCACATTCATATTGTCCGTAGCAAAAACAAACTGTAACACTTTAGGCTTAAGGTTTGTTTTAAACTAAAGTTTTGAGGTTAATGCATTCTTGAGGGTGTTAGAGTGACATCTTTGTTGTTATCTGTGATATTTATGTATCTCACAGAGGCACGTCTTCAAATAGACTGTATTCTGTTGTGCCAAAACCCACATTTACTCCTTCACTCACTCTATCTCTCGCTCTCTTTCTATTTCAGGAGTGGACTCCAGACAAGAAGCATAAAAAGGGAAAGAAGGAGGTGGAGCAGAAAGCAGTAGTGATGGAGAGAAGGTCAGTTTACTACAGTGATATTTGCTGTGGGGCTTCATATCGCTAGGCTGCCTGACTCTTATTCACTACAAACCAAACTAGGCCTTTTTGAACTTCAGGACTTGTAATTGCTTGCTGCTGTGCATTGACCCATTACTATAGAATACTATTGCTCAGACAAGCTTGACAAGGAATGAGTTCGGGATTAAACAGTGAAATTGTCCGTAAAATACAGAAGCAAACATTGATTGAATATTAAATACAATACTAGAATGAATTGTGACATTGCAAAACATTCTGGCTGTTTTTCTTTTAAAAAATCAATAATTTATGCAGTATTGTGAGTAAGACTGTGGAGACTGTGAATCAGAATTGAGGCAAATGCTGATCACAGTCAACTTAAAAGAGAAAAAAATTTAATTTAAAAGACATTACAAGTGATAACATTTAGTTATCTATGGTTCTGTGAAGCATTTAATTGCTATCAACAATACAGTACAATAATCTGAATTAATATTTAAATGAAATGATGTTAAGTTAATAACATTAATATTCTTGGAGCAAATTCTTACTAATGCTCTACGTTCTACATGCTTCTACATGATTTGAGAATAATAGGAGACACATATTGTAGTCTACAGACTTCATGACTTCTCAGGAAGATTAGAAAAAGGGAATAAATCAGCTTTTATCTTCTCTGTGTATTATAAGTGCTCTGGCAACAACATGTTACAGTATTTTTGGATAAACTCTGTTTAAACCTATCCAAGGACAGTAATAGTCCGAAATGTTATAGTATTTGGTATAATTTTTAGTCAAATGTGGAAAAAATTGACCCTAAAATTGTCCCCATTTCTTTTTTTTGGTCTAGTGTTTCACAGATTAGTTTTGTAAGTTATATGGTTCCTAAAAAGTTTATATTTAAGAAATAAACAAATAAGGATTTAAGTTTCTTTGATGTATTCCAATGGAAGACTATTTTTTTCCACATAAGAAAAGAAAAAAAGCTTTTTAGGTTAATCAGAAATATGATATAAAAAGTCATAGAATTATGACAAACAAGTTGAAATTATGAGATACTAAATTATAATTGAGTAAAAACTCAAAATGTAACATATTGGAAATTATTAGATGAAAAGTCATTATTATTAGAAGATTTGTTTATAATTATGACTTTTATCTCATAATTATGAGCATGTCATCATTTTGACTTTTTATCGCTTATGATTTACAAATAATTTTTTCTTATTTGGCAGAAATGGGCTTCCATAATTATCCAACAAAAGGCAACAAAAAGTTTTGATCAAACTATCCACACATACAAGATTTGCATTAGAAAAGAGCAAAGGCTTGTCTGCTGATTTAGTGGATAGTGACAGTCGCTAAGGTAGGAGTGGTCAGTAACATTTTTTTCATTTCCATTATTTTCCTGACTGTCTGTTTTCCCTCCTCATCTCAGTCTAATGATTGGAGGAGTGAGAGTCAGAGCTCTCTATGACTATGTTGGACAGGAGACAGATGAACTGTCCTTCAAAGCAGGTAAGCTGCCCTTGTTTATGTTTGTGTATTCATATACAGGTGCATCTCAATAAATTAGAATGTCGTGGAAAGGTTCATTTATTTCAGTAATTCAACTCAAATTGTGAAACTCGTGTATTAAATAAATTCAATGCACACAGACTGAAGTAGTTTAAGTCTTTGGTTCTTTTAATTGGGATGATTTTGGCTCACATTTCACAAAAACCCACCAATTCACTATCTCGACAAATTAGAATACTTCATAAGACCAATAAAAAAAACATTTTTAGTGAATTGTTGGCCTTCTGGAAAGTATGTTCATTTACTGTACGTGTACTCAATACTTGGTTGGGTCTCCTTTTACATGAATTACTGCCTCAGTGTGGCGTGGCATGGAGACAATCAGCCTGTGGAAATAGTAATATTGTAAAATATTATTACAATTTACAACAACTTTTTAATTTTAAATTTTTTTATTGTATTTGAAAGTCTCTTATGATCAAAAATGCAATAAAAAGTGTAATGTTATTGCAATTTAAAATAACTGTTTTTCTATTTTAATATATTATAAAATGTACTTAATTCCTGTGATGGCAAAGCTGAATTTTCAGCATCATTACTCCAGTCTTCAGTGTCACATGATCCTTTAGAAATCAATATGCTGATTTGCTGCTCAAGAAACATTTCTTATTATTATCAATGTTGAGAAAAGTTGTGCTTAATATTTTGGTGAACGCTACAATACGTTTTTTTCAGGATTCTATGATGTGTAGAAAACAAAAAAGTAATCTTTTGAAACATTACAAAACTGTCGCTTTTCGATCAATTTAATGCATTCTTGTAGAAAATCACGTAATATATGTTTTTTTATTTTTTATTAAAACATTAGAAAACAATAGTCTGGTATGATAGATAGATAGATAGATAGAGTTATATGTGTGTGGACTCTAGGGGTTGCACCGATTAGTCGACTTCAATGCTCTGTCATGACGCTTTAAGCTTGACGTCGACTAGTCGCTGGTCCTATCCACCTTTTTCTGGGTCTGGCTTCCGGTCTCATCTGCATCCACTCTGTCCAGCTATTTTTAGCTGAACAAAACAGTTCGTTTTGCTGCTTGATATTGAAAGTTGGTGTGTCTTATCATATTATTTTAATGTATTATCTTAATTATGAACACACTGGTTTGTAGTGCAAGTGTTTTACCGTTTACTGCACGTTGTTATTCTCCTGGTTATTTACCTATAGCGGTTAATGAACCGGAAGTCTCACCCATAGGCTTACTTCCGCGTTGAAGAAAAAGGTGGATAAGAAATCTTTGAAGGACTTCCACATTTACGCTCAGTTTCAAAACAGTTAAAAGACAAATAAATGCATACTCTGAAAGCGCTCCACAAGACGTGTGATTATATTACTGGATGCTCGAAATTGAACGGGAGAATGCACGTTTTAAACAGCTTATTGTGCAGGTAAATTAATCGCCGTTCTAATCTAATGCGCTGCTGCACTGTAAGGCGCACACATAGGACAGTAGCGCGTACAGCTTGCGCACGCACAGAGTCATTCGGAAATGTATTGTCATCACTGTTCTGTGATTTCTCAATAAAATAGCTTAGAAACTGAAAATTTCAAGCATATATTTCTTAATAACTAAATCCCACAGCTTCAGTAGAGAGACGCTGCCAGGTAGAATTAATTCACACACGCAATCGCTCTCACTAATGCATTCATATGAATGTAATCTTTTCTGTGCTACTTTATCTGTATCTGATTTAGAACGAGCAGAAATCTGTGAGAAATATAACAACCCAAAGACAAAAGAACTGATAAAAATGAGCTGTTATAGGAGCAATAGCCATGTGGGCGGTCGCCGTGATTTTGCCAAGTAAGACATGTTCCTCGATCAACATCTTTTGATGATCCTGGATCAACATTATTGTCCAAAAATATAGACTTAACCCAATCCCTACCCCTAAACCTAACCCTATCCATAATTTATTCCTAAAATCAGTGGGAAATGATAGCTGATTAACAAGAGTGTAGAAACACCTAACCCTGATTTTAAGCCTAAAACAGATATTTCCTGAAAAGTTATATCTCAATTCTGATTGGTTGATTGGAATGATGTTCCAGGATCAACAAGGATGTTGATCCAGGAACATGTTGTACTTGGTGAAATCACGCTCACCCCGTGTGGGCAGCGCTGTGTCATATGGCATAGCTGTGGACAAGGTGTTTATCACAGCTCCAGACTTATTTGTTCATTAATGACGCCATCAGCGACTAATCGACTTCGGCCCGACTTTCATCACATAAAATCGACTTTAAAAAAATCAGAAGTCGTTCAACCCCTGGTGGACTCATATGAGTCAGCCTGCTCATGTATCTCAGGATTTCAGCTCCACTGGACCCCGCAGCACATCTTTTAATAGTGTCAGATCATTCAGTGTGTTGCCCTGAGTGGTTGTCACACACATTTTCACTCATAGGCCTACATGCATCGTGTGTTTTATCGTGATGCATTATCGTGCATCATGAGTACATGAGTCAGAAATGTGCCTGATTTCCTAGGGTCAATTCCTTTCCCACAGTTTTGAGCAACATTAACCTTTCCCGTTTGCAAAAATAAGCACAGCCCGTGTGCTGATTACTGCTGGCTGTCTGCATAAAATTCCTCACAGGGAAAATAATCATGCTTGGGCTAAGTAAAGCTGGCATAAGCTATGAGTAGGTCAATGACGCAACCAATTTCATCCAAAAAAAGTTTTTTTTAAACTTCCACAAACACACTGTTTACCAAGCAAAAATCTGGATTTAGGTGCATACTTGCTCTCACTGCATGTGTCACAGTAACTAGTCCATACCTGAGAACAGTGATGAGGTGGGAGCCTACATACTAGCCTAAAAAAAAAAAAAAGGTGAAATCATTCATTTTATCCACATTTCTTTAAATCCCAGATGCTAGGACAATTGTCGCCCTACTTACTGTCCATATGTAGCACCTCCATCACTGTGGTCAGTGCTGGCAGTACTCTTGCTACTTGGCTGGGTACTTTCACCAGATAGGACACTCAAGGATTTTAAACTTCTCCATTAGCAGCTTTGGGGTTATTTTGAACAAAAGAAAAGCTTCTATTCTATTATTGTGATGATATACAAATTTTTGTTACTTGTCATATATTCATGCAAGCAGCATTTGTGTATATGCATGTATGTTTACACACACATATACAGTGGGTACAGAAAGTATTCAGACCCCCTTAAATTTTTCACTCTTTGTTATATTGCAGCCAATTGCTAAAATCATTTAAGTTATTTTTTTTCCTCATTAATGTACACACAGCACCCCATATTGACAGAAAAACACAGAATTGTTGACATTTTTGCAGATTTATTAAAAAAGAAAAACTGAAATATCACATGGTCCTAAGTATTCAGACCCTTTGCTGTGACACTCATATATATTATACTGAGTGGACTTGATTAGGAAAGCCACACACCTATCTATATAAGACATTACAGCTCACAGTGCATGTCAGAGCAAATGAGAATCATCAGGTCAAAGGAACTGCCTGAAGAGCTCAGAGACAGAATTGTGGCAAAGCACATGAGGAAAAAAAATTAACTTAAATGATTTTAGCAAATGGCTGCAATATAACAAAGAGTGAAAAATTTAAGGGGGTCTGAATACTTTCCGTACCCACTGTATATATACATACAGTATATAATTGTATATGTTTTATGTTAATTTCTTTGATATGCACAGATTCCTGCATAGATAATGAAGTTAATTGATATACAAGGTCATAAGATTAATATTTATTCAGTGAGAACTAAACATCTCACACTCAAAATAAAATAGTAACCCTATTTCTGCAGTGCATGGCAATAATCACAGTCTAAGCAAATAGAATAAAGATATTTATATATGCTGTGAACGCTGTGTTCTACTGTCTGTCAGTAAGAACACTGTATTCCAAACTGAACTATGCTGGTCGTGGATGCTTTTATAGATCAATATTATTTTCAACGGACACCAAGCGCCTCTCAAATTTAATCATTTGCCTGCCAGAATGTTCTCATAAGTTGATTATCTTACAATACTGATGTGCTCTGTTTATCATTTCAAGTGGGTAATTGTTATATAACTTCTATAGAAATACAGTACATAGCAAGACCTACATTCTGCTGTCGCGTAAGAGATGGTGTGAGCCAGCAGAGGGCGCTGTTGATTTATGAAGCAATTATCTTTGAGAACTGATGGTCTGTTACTGCTAAACCCATAAACGCTGACATCAAACACTACTGGGTCTCGACCGGTTTTGCTTCGAGACCAAGATTTTATATTGGACATTAAGTGGCAACCCAGTATCATAATGTTTGATTTTGTACAGAGGTAAGTAACAATTTTATTAAAAAAAAAAAAACCTTGAGAATGTATAAATACAATCATGAGTTACAAGTAGGCCTACCCAAAATATGCAAAATGATTAGTATGAAAATTATTAGACTAAAAAAAGAATACTCCCGCTTTTGTAGATGAATAAACAGAAGTGTAATTTTAGGCCTAAAACAACAAACCATGTGCCAAATATTGAATTATCATTAGCCATATTTCTACGTGATAGATGAATCTGGTCCAAAATGCCAAGTTTATTTGGACTCTATTTGACTGTTCGATCTATTTGCTACAAACTTTGCTATTCTAACTATGCATAATTGTATAATCACTATAGTCAGCATCCAGCATTGTTTTTCCCTGATTTTAAACCTCCGACCATTTTTTCAGCCACCAGTTGAAGCACATTCACCCTCGCACAACAGACAGAAGCCTCTTAAATACGCTCATTATATTTTAAACACGTTTTCTGAAAGCTTCTCATCATGACTATGGAGGTATATATTTATGTTTATTTAAATCATCATGGCATCAAGTCTACTAATGCTTTGGGCAAACAAACATGCGTGGATGTATGTATGGATGATGATTTTTATTCCATGCGTCTGTGATAAATGCACATAAATGTGTGTGGGGGGTGACTCACGCTCTTCCAGCGAGGCACACAGCATATGAGCAGTTCAGCAATCTGTCATTCACAGGCTCCCCCTCACTGTGGTGTGTGTGTAAGAAAGAGAGAGAAATAGAATGACAAAGGGAAACACAGTCACCCAGAGACATGGAGATTATATTCTTCTGTGTTTGAGGAGATCGGTGTAAGTTTATATTTTCCCTTGAACTAAAATAGATATTTTAGTGTGTGTTTCTGTGTCATTTTTCACAGGAACATTCTGATTAGTTCACCCAAAAATGAAGATGTCATCATTTAGGCCTACTCAAGTTATTCCAGACCTGTATGAATGTCTTTTAGCTGTTGGATGCAGTTTCTTTCTTCTGTTGGGCATGGAAGAAGAATGTTGGTAACCAAATAGTTGACGGTAGCCATTGACTTCCATAATATTTGAAAGTCAATGGCTACCGTCAACTGTTTTGTTACCAACGTTCTTTAAGAATACCTTCTTTTGAAGAAAGAAACTCATACAGGTTTGGAACAACTTGAGGGTGAGTAAATGATGACAGAATTTTCATTATTTTGTAAACTACCCCTTTAACTGTGGCACTTAATTGCTATTGCCTACTATGGAGTGCCAGTCGACTTTTTTAGCTGTCTTGATTCCAACTAAACACAACTATTAAAAAAAGGCAGACAATGCAGACTGACAGCTTCAATAAAGGCATACCATTACAGTTAACAACCTTGTATCTCACAGCATGCTTTTATCGTTAAAAATCAGATCTCATGTTGAAAAAAAAGGATTTTTAATTCTCTGGATCCTGACTGTTGTCCTCTGCTATCCCTCATATGTGGCAACACTTTATATATGCAGATCTGGGTAACTGAAACCAGCACTACTTTCATGTATCAACCCATGGACTCACACTCTTTTGTTTCATGCAAACACGTAATTGCGTCTCAGTTATTGACTGTATAGTAAAAATGACCTCATTAGACTCATTAATATTAATATGACTGTAATGTTGTTGGTGAATGTTCATCTTGTTGCTAGGCTGAATTTTTCTTTTTTCTTTTTTTTTTTACGTGGTAGTGGACTATGCTTTCCTCAGTGAAAGCTTTTAAATAATATACAGATAAGATTATAAAATTATTTAAACTTAAATCAATATTTCATGTCCAAATGTTTATTTATTTTGTGAGAAGCCATGTAATAAGTGGGATGATGTACAGTCAGTCAGTCATTACTGCAAAATAAACTCCTTCAGGGTGATACCAGGTCACCATGCCTGGGTTTATTTTCCGATAATGATCGGCTGGCTGTACACAACACCTCCTTACAGCATATGTTCATAACACCATTCTGCAAAAAGCATAATCATGCACAAACGACCATAAGAAAGCTTTGAAATACTGAAAGAAAAGCTTCAATTTAAAGCAAGACATCAGTCTTCACTGGTGTACAGCAAAGCTGCCTGACCCCTACCTGCTACCATTATTAGAAAAATACAAAAGATTTTAGGCTGAAATTGGCATCCAAAGAAAATTTCCACCAAGAGGACAAGTTAATCAGCCACCCTGACCCTGGAGCTGTGCTGAGAAAGAGGGGAGTTATAAGACCACTAGATGTGTCATCCAATCACACATTAGCCTAATTCCATGTAGCCCAGTTTGGATACAAATAAATGGTGTTGCAGAGGAGACTGAGAAATCTACACAGACATGATGAGTTTTTTGTTGGTTGTTTATTATTACCTAACATATGACGTAAAGCTGGGAAAATACTGATTATTTACCTCACCCCAAAATTAACATCCTTTGAATCCTTATTACTCATCCTCGTGTCATTTGAAACCTTAAACTTTGGACTTTTGGACTTTTATGTTTTTGTTGCTATCCACTTTTGTTGGAGAGGAGCGGCTTGGATTTCTTATGCTAAATACAATAGTTTATGTTCCACTGAACAAAAAAGCCAGTTAGGTTTTGAACAAAATGAAAGTGGGTAAATGATGACATTTATGTTTCATTTTCCTACTGCAGAAACTTTGTGATGGCCTCGAGAGCGTTTCTCACCTGACATCCAAAAGATATTGATGAAATGAAATTCCCTTTGTGCCTCTGACCAGCAATTACAAGAAACATTTTGTGGAGGTTATTGAGGGTCGACCACTTATTAAATCTAAGGGTTCACAAACTTTTTCCACCCTGCACTAAAAATGCACTTCATTTTTAAATAATGATTTGAAAATGGTTCATTTTTGTGTGTTATGTTTTTAAAGCAAACTGTCTATTTTATGACACATTCAAGGGTTCTTTTTATTGTAACTGCGTCCCTTTTTCAAGGGCACAGTGGTGATGGTCTGGTATCTCATTCATATCTCATCTAGTACCATCTCTAAAGCGCCTGAATGGTCTTTACCTGGTATTGAAACTGTTAGTACTGTTCGACAACCAGCAGTACCATCAGAACTCTTATATATCTAGATATAGACATCTAAAAGCCTGTGAATTTAGGGAAGTTTGGTATAGGACACTTATCCTCGTTGTTTCGTTTTTCCCATACTTTCAGAAATAAAGTCCATTAACTCCATGTGTTAAGGAGCTTATTGTGTCACATCATATAAAACCTCTGACAGAAAGAAGTGGAGCTTCAAGTCATCCCTCACACTAACAGCAAGAGAGAGGGAAAGACAGCAAGAAAATGTGTGTACACTGGGTCAGTTAAGGGAAAGAAGAGACTTGTACTGGCTTCATGTGTCTGCTCAATTCTTTAACTGCACAAAATTATGAATAATCAGGAAATTATTATTCTAGCTTCTTAATTAGCCTAATTAAATAAGAGTTTGGCTGGCCGCAGAGAAGAGGGACTTAATATAGTGTGTGTGTGTGCGCGCGCAATATTCTGAGACAAGCTGAAGGCTTATATGGGCAGTATGCTCTGAAGCATATGTGAGTATGTGTGAATGTGTATAGGGAAAGCTGGAGCTACATAGCACTATTTTTAATTATTTCTCAGGGCAATTATTTGTCTGTGTAGGCACATACCTTAATGCTTTGGAAAAAGCTATTCCGCATTTCAGCTGTCATTGCCCCAGAGAAAAAAGATACAGTTCATTGAACCATGCTGTGTACCATTAAGAAATAAAAAAAGAATACCTTTTAATTTCCAATTAATTTGAATTGAATTTGAATTATGGTAGCAAACAGAATGCAGAGTTGCAATTCATATTTGAATGTAAGAAAATTGATTTTAAAATCTATAACTGTAATTTAAGTAGATATAACTGTAATTTTAACTAAAGCAAAGTTTGTAAAGATAAACTTTGAATGTTAGTTTGACAGCCGTCTCTTAACGTTTTTAATTTTATTTTTAAGTGTTCATGGTTTAAAGATAGATAGATAGACAATAGATAGATGAAACATAAGAAAGTGAAAGTGACGTGACATGTGGCCAAGTATGGTGACCCATACTCTGAATTCGTGCTCTGCATTTATCCCATCCAAAGTGCACACACACAGCAGTGAACACACACCCGGAGCAGTGGGCAGCCATTTTTCCCCTTTAAAGGTCAAAGGTAACACAAAAATATCAGCAAATATTTCTGTTCAACAAGTATTGTGATTAATAAATTAAATATCAAGTGTAGCGTTAGTTCTGGCAGGTCACGTTAGTCAAGTTCGTATCAGCTGACTCTCATCTGATCCACGTCTACTTTTAAGAATACGACACCTATCAAGGTCCTTCAGTATTATCAGCGGCTTTGCGTTGCTCAATAGCTAATTAAATGGTGAATGCACCAGGCAAAACCCCATCATCTCACTAGGAATTCTGCAATCAGGAATTTAGTGAAAGGAATTCGTTCCCCTCATGGACTTCACCTCAGATTCATTCAAGTTTGTGAACTTGAGCATGTGAATTCGCTGCATTGATCATAAGCTGCCTGATTTGGAAGTGACTGAGTTAGCATTGCTTCTTCCATCGCTGCATTATTGACATGGACTCCATGAGTTATACTAATGTGACTGACTTAAGAACAAGTTCAAATGGAATCTGCACTCCCCGCATCAAGTAGGATATCAAGAGATCAAGCATCCATCTCACAGCTGGCTATGTTTCACTCTCCATTCATCTCTGAATGTCTTCACAAAGCTAAGCTAAGTTCCTTTTTAATGCTCTCGGGTTATTGGCAACATGCTTCTTGCTAAGGCTTTCCATGTTGCTTAGGCCTATTTATTCATTTTCAGTAAAATGCTCGTGCTAGGTTTATACAATCATATTGACAATGTGTGTTGTCATTGGCAACATGCTTGTTGCTGCAACATGCTGTGCTTTAACCTATCAAGTCAAGTCACATTTATTTATATAGCATCAGTACACAGCAGATTCAAGCAGCTTTGCTGTGATAGACAGGAAATAATGATCATTATTTCTGAATAATTTCTGCTGTGTAAACAGTCATTGTTCAATTAAAGTCAGTTCAGCGTTGATTCTGTTTGAGTATTGGTCACGCTTGTTCTATCTAGTTGTATTGGGAATATGCTTGTTCTTAAGGCTTCTGGCATTGGGTAAGGGCAACATGCTTGTTGCTTAAGGCCTTGAGATTTTCGCTGTCAGTTTGTGTTGGGGGATATCAGCATATGGTTTTATTTTTGGGGGGTTATCCCTGCTCTCCCTGCTCTGCTCTTATCCATGCAAGGCTGCATGGATGCACAGGGAGTTCTTGCCCAGAACAGAACCATACCGCCAATCCAAACTGTACGCTAATTGTCAATAATCTTTGACGATAGTGGTCCTGACAGAAATATACATTTAAAACACATGTGACAACTTGTGCCATCTGGGCATGGGGGGAAAAATCCTCTCTGAAAGAAAAGTAGCCCCGGCCTCCCCTATAATTAAGGTTGTACACCCCTAGACACCCATCAGTTCAATCTCTCTGAGTGACCAGTCTCAGGTAGCAGCAGCAGGGGGAAGTGCCAAGAGAAAGAGAGAGAGAGAGAGAGAAATAGCCTCCATTAGCAGAGAGCTGGAGCGCTGTAGAGGTTAATCATTACTTCAGCATCACTTCTTCAGCTGAGAGCCAGATGGCTGACAGGAACCCTCACAGAGACAGAGCAAGAACCGAGAGTAGCACCCCCTGCTGGACTACACATACACAAACACACACACATAGACACACTTGTCTCCAGATTTCTGCTCCTCCACAGTGTGACTGTTCCGCCTGAAAAGTGGAGCTCCCCAGCGCCGGGCACAAAGGCTGAGTGAGCATGTAGCTTATTTTCCACATTGATGACTCTGTTTCCACAACTCCAACATGTTAAGGGAGATATCATGCACATGGGTTTCACATTGACTGACCAACGGCACGCAGAGTGCTTGTATTCAGGCGGCCCTGAGGGCTCCTTGTTTATGGACAGCGATAAACACTCTAGCGCTTTGTTAGGTTTCCAGAAGTTTCTGTCTGTAATAATTACTTTCAGTGTTTTTTCTTCCCTCGTTCTCCCCTAAAGCCCAACAGTCTCCTGTCACTGTGCTCCATCCCTCATCGGTATTTCTGTCTTTTCCCCATCCTCTCAGTCACAGTCTAATGGTCATGCTTAATTGGCAGCTGTCTAATTGCTTCTCATTAGCTTGTGAAACCAAACATCCCTGACACAACAAATAAACAAAGCCTTTTTTCATTTGCTTCATTTTTTTTTCAATTCCTTCAGGTCCCACACCACCCTGTCTTCCCCCTCCTCCTCCTTGAGATTTTTCTCAAAATGTTTGTCTTTTATCTCCTTCATTTTGATCTTTTTCTCTCACTAGGTTCAACAGAAAGGCTCTTCTCTGGATTTCTCAGGATATCTTAATATGGCCATTTTTAGGAGTGTCCCATTGTCAAAATGGTTCCAGTTCACTGAAATTGAAATTCCCAGAATGCACCTGGAGAGAGATAGAAGAGGAAATACAATTCCCAGGTGAGTATCTATCATTGTAGTGATGTGTGATGTGGGCCGATGACGTAAAACAGTCAGTAAGTGCTGTCAGTCGTGACCAAAGTCTTGACTACAATGTATCGTACAGTCCGACATGCGAGATAGACAATGTCATACAATCTGTCTCAACTTTTTCACCAGGGTTACACAAACTGATCAGGAGCAGTTGTTAAGGACAGAAAAGGACTCTCACATCATCAGAGAATAAGCGGAACTTATATTTCATCCCTTACATGCATGCAAGGGAAACAATCCTGCAAACTGCCAAGGTATTATACAAGAATTTGAGTTGCTAGATTAAAAGAGCAGATCAAACAGATTAAATCCCCCATAAATCTTTTGATTTATTTGTTCATTTATGTATGTTCTGCAGTCTTATGTGTATTATATTAGTTTAATATCTGAATGTCATTGTTTATGCATTATCAGTTTGGATGAAAAAAAATGCTGGACTTTATGAAGCAAACAGTGTTGCTCATAAATAGCAGATACAATTGAATGTTGTACATCATAATGAGATCATGTGACATGACTGCTCTAGTGTTTAGTAGATCAAGGCCCTAGCTAAAAGGTTGACATGAAAGGTCGACAATCATCCAGTATAAGCTTTATATCCAGTATTCAGTGTTACATGATCCATCAGAAATCATTCTAATATGCTGATCTGGTGCTTAAGAAAAAATTCTTATTACTGTCAATGTTGCAAACAGTTGTGCTGCTTACTAATTTGTGAAAACTATGATATATTATTTCTGTCGGGGATCTGGAAGGAGGACCCACTTGCAGTGAGTGTAACAAGGGTTTATTGACAAAACAGATCCATACAAAAGGGTTGTGAGGTGCACAAGTGATACTCAGGATTCTTTGATTAATAGAAAGTTCAAATGAAGAGCATTTATTTGAAATGGAAACCTTTGGCAAAATTATAAATGTCTTTTACTGTCACTTTTGATCAATTTAATGCATCCATGTACAGTAAATATTTGTTTGTTTGCTTATTAATTTATTCATGCATGCTTTATTTGCTGTAGCTGTTTGTACAGTTTGCTCATCAACCCTCTTAGAAAAGTTGCATCTTTAATTTTATTCTCTTTAAAGCACCATACACAATCAGATGGAAATGTCATGTTAACAATACTCTAGTCTAATAGACCCCTTCATTCTGTTCTATTATACTGCACTTTGTCTGGCTGTTTTTGAACTTCTTATGATTGAGAGTTGAGTCAACCAACCGACTAGTCTATTTTGAAAATATGTAGTTTTGCCTATCCCTACTTGCTAGCATGCAAATTTGTGTTCACAATCTACTGATTCACAACATAGGCAACTAGAGATTAGAATGGAACACAGCCTCTCTCTTTCCAATCTTCAGTCTGCCTTCCTGCATCTCTTTGAATTTGGCAGTTTGAGTGTCTGGTAACCTTTGTCACCTTTAAATCTATCCTCCATGTACTTTCATGCCCGTACAGAGAACTCCCGATTCTAATTCCCCTCTCCGTGCAGAGTGCTTTAGCGACATGCTGGCCAACTCCATACAGTCAGCAATGCATCAAGGTTTAAAATGGACATCTGAACAGCAGAGCAGTTTAGTCAGAGCAGCGTGATATATAGAGCCCCTTGTTTCAGTGGTGAAAAACATCAGCCCATGTGAACGCAGATGCCTCCCTATGCCACCACTCTGCCTTTGCCACAGCATGTCCCTAGGGGGTGAGAAATGTGTGAACAACAGTATTTGCTTTGAAGAGAGACGCTGAAGAGATGACTGCTTCGGGTGAAGTGCACTCGCTGTTTTTTTTTCAGCCACTCTATTGCTCCCATGCAAACAGCCACACACGAAGTATGCCAGAGGATTGCATATTCATCACTTTTCTCTTTAGCTTAAAAGGAAAAGGACATAATCATGCCAAATAAGTCTGAGGGACGCATTTTTTTTCTAACACAATATAATGTAACCAGACATATATTTCTTGTATTTTCACATCGGTAGGCATGACTTTGCAACGTAGGGTACATTTATACTGTCATTTCATGCTCTTTAATCGATCAATTGAGATCTAATATGGTACGAGTATTCAGTTTACACTTGAAAAAATGTCTCGGACAGAAGCACAATCGACTATTTCTTGGCTATATGCTCAATTCTGCAGTGAACTTTTTAGCTCAACAATCTCTTTGCCCCATATTGCAATAAGCATTTACTGTAAGATTTGCAGTTACTCTATTCATGACCGTCTCATTCATGACTGCCGTTCGAATGTGGTTTACAGCATGCCCAAACTTCCATATGGTGATGATGTTGATGATGCTAATGCCAGGCAGCAACATTTTTGTTTGAATGCTTTCTTAGCCCCATAGGGCAAATACTTCATTAGTGCATCTCATTCATGATTGCTTGTTCAAGTGTGGCTTCTTCACTTACAAACTTCCGGATAGTGAAGTTGGGGTTTAAAAGGCAAATAATGTTCAGCAGTATTTTCTGTTTAACTGCACTGACACCATTGGATCAACTGAACTTTGGAACTGAATTGAGCTAAATAATGACACTAACTTTGCAACATTACCACTGTTGTTAAGCTGAATTGAATAAACACTGAATCAACTGACTTTAAATGTAATCAACTGACAACCAAATACTGACACTATTGCCTTATTGAGCTTGTTTAAAATTTGAAGAACCTTGCAAAATTGACACATTTATTGAACTGAATTGAAACCTCACTGAAGTAAATTGAGCTGAATAATGATAACATTGTCTTCTGTAGAGTAGAGCTGCTTTACAGTTGAAATTGAATTTGTTTAAATAATTGATAAATGTAAAACAGTAACGCTGGTTTATTAATGGAAAGCTGCTTTGAAACAATCTGTATTGTTGACTTAAAGCCACTTGGGATGAGTACATTTTACTTATGTGACCTAAAGCCTTATTTTTCTTTTCTTTATTTCTTCTTTTTTTGTGTTGTTGTTGTGTTGTAATTATATTTCATGTGCATGAAAGTTGCTTGCAAATTGCCATCTGTGATGAGTGAAGATTACTTATGTGGCCTAAACTATATATATATATTTAAACTTGAGTATGTTGCATCTTATTCCACTCAAACCACATCAGTTGGATTGCTATCTATCTCAATACATCTTGGAGGGCATTTACTTTTGATCTTTTTATGATTGGACAGCTAACCGGTTATTAAAAATCATGAAGTAAATATTCCATAAAGAGTCTCTTTTCCTGCTGCGTGTTTGCTTTGATAGGACATAGTTCATGCTTTGATGTCAATTTAGGTGATGTATTTGATGTTTAATCTGGTGCAAACCGATTTTTTAAAGCTTTTGCTTATTGATCTTTGTCATCCTGGTTGCAGTTTTAGACAGACACTATGTCAGGAAGGTGAAAAAAAGCCAGAAGCACCTCGGCACTGAAACTCTATGGTGGAGATGTTTGGAATGAAGCATAAATATTTTATAGCAGACTGTAATGAAGAAGACTGAACATAAATCTGTACCATATATTACAGTGGTGAGAAAGAGAAAAAAAATGGGGGTAAGCCCGAAGAGTGGAAAACTGAGAGTTACAGTGATGGTGCAAGAAAGAGTAGGGGAATGAGTCGAGAAGAGAAAGATGAAAGTCACTGCAAGGAAAGTAAAAAAAATGAAAGAGGAAAGGGAAGAGAGATGTGGGCGACTCGCTTAGAGACGGTTGTCATGGTAACAAAATAAAATGAAGAGCTCAAAAAGGAGCAATCCAGTGAAAGAGGGCAGACAAACTATTGTGGAGGTGAACTTGGGCACTGAGGCTTGTGACGTTATCAGTATTTCCACGGAGCGCCACCTTGCTGTACCTGTCAAGTCTGGTGTGAGATTTTGTTGACAGAGTCAGGAGTCAAAATAGATAAAAAAAATAAGGTTAAACGTCACTTTAGATGGCTCTTCACGCTTAACATGATTCACACAAGTAGGGCATGCTCTTGGATCAACTACCTCAGATTTTAAAGGTAGTGTTGTGGCTGTAATGGTTGACCGTAATCTTGTTCCATTAGTAACAAAGGATGTTGATCCAGAAATAGTGATAGGAGTTGTAAGAATTTACACCATTCTAATTCCTTTTCGATTCCGTTACAGATTTGTTTAGTACTTGAAGAAGGCCGATCCAGTCAGTGAATGAGTCATTAGACTTAAAGTCATAATCGCATTACCGATTCATTTAACACATGAAGACAGATTCAGTCAACGAATGGGTCATTAGACTTGTTCAAGAACTGACTTAAAAGAGTATGTCGATTCAGTCAGTGAATGAGTCTGATTCTGAAACTCGAAGAGATTGATTCATACGAGTACTATACAAATATACAGAACTCACAAGTTCAGGAATGATTTGTTGAGTCTTTTTGGCCAATTAATTAAAAAGAACTGACTTAAGCATCAGAATCACATTATTAATTGATTTAACAGATGAAGACATATTCAATCAACGAATGAGTCGTTAGACTGGTTCATAAATTCCATAAATGAATAACTAATTATAGCTCATTTAAAAAGAACCCACTTAAAAGACATTACCAATTAATTTAGTATTTGAAGAATAGTTAATTGAATGAATGAGTCATTAGATTGATTTGTATGAATTGTACATATGAAGAATTAATTTGACTGAGACTGATTTGAGCAATCAACAATTAAGTCAATTATTTGCAATTAATACAATTATTTGAAAAAGTAACTGAAAAATCATATTGTTTTTTCTAGTACTTGAAGGTCGATTAAGTCAATAAATGAATTGTTAGATTCATTTTATTTAAAAAAAATAAATTGTCTCAAAAGAGTCAGAATCACAAATTACACACATCATTCATTGGTATGATTCATTGGTGAATCGTACTACACTGGTTGAGCAGCACTGGTGGAAGAATGTACACATTGAAAAACAGTTGGAACAGAATGTCATGACAATCTTTTGGTTCCAGTATTTTTTGTACCCGTTTCTGAATAATAATATCCAGGAACACTTCCTTCTTGTGTAAATCACATTGTGCACCTCTTCATGGGCTCATTATTTTGGGCAACACCATTACTGAAAACCTCTCCACAGCTGAATCGTAGCATTTCCTCTGCCAGAAATGTGTGAGTGTCCAAGAATATGTACATTTCTGTGTGCATGAATGTGTAAATATAATTTCCTAGTGGGAAACATGAGCAGTGCCAGTACATGTTCCC